GTGTCACCCTGCCTCTTCGCATCTGCCTGAAGGACAGATTTAGCCAATTAACCTAAAGTTACCTTCTCTTTATTCTCTGATTAATTCCTCATTCTGTCTTTCCATGTTGTTGTCTCTCATATTTTTTTCCTCCTCCTTCCCTTTCCTCGCCTCCCTTCCCCCTAAACCTTACAGATAGCTCGTGAGGCTGAGGCAGCCATGTTCCACCGCCAGCTGTTTGAAGAACTTGTGCGAGGCTCACGTCACTCCACAGACCTCATGGAAGCCATGGCCATGGGCAGCGTGGAGGCTTCTTATAAATGTTTAGCGGCAGCTTTGATAGTTCTGACGGAGTCTGGCAGGTAGGGCCCTAAAGGCAGGTAACTCTGTAGGATAACCAGCCTCTTGCTCCAGCTGCTCTAGAAAACAGCCAGGGCCCAGCCCTGCACCTGGGGCCTGGGCTCAGAGCCTCTTTTTTTCATCTGCAGGAAGCTAGCCAAGGGAGCTCAGGGCAGGGCAGAACCAAAGGGACTGTAGCTCGGTAGGCACAGGTGGTGTCACAGGCACCTGGTGAAGGACTGGTCCCTGCGAGTCTTGATCTTGGTCAGCTCAGAACCTACCGTGATTGGGTTCCTTTTGGCCTTTGCACCCAGGGATGTGTTCCCCACCAGCTGTCTGTGCAACTCTTCCCCTCCCTCTCCCATTGTGACACAGCTCTGACAAAGCTCTGTCCCCCTCTCGTTCCTCTGGACGGATGTTGCTCCCTTAGATTGCCCGTGAGGCAGAGGCCGCCATCTACCACTTGCAATTATTTGAGGAACTCCGCCGCCTGGCGCCCATTACCAGCGACCCCACAGAAGCCACCGCCGTGGGCGCCGTGGAGGCCTCCTTCAAGTGCTGCAGTGGGGCCATAATCGTCCTCACCAAGTCTGGCAGGTAGGAGGTGGCAGCAGCTCCCTGGGAATGCCCTGCTCAGTGGCACCTTTCCTTGGGGGTCCTGGGAGCAGTGCATTGAACAATGCTCAGATGACATGAGCCAAGGTGAGACCCTGCTGCCTGCCACCTGGACCCTGCAGGGAAGGAGCTCCCTCAGCCCCCAGGCCAGGATCCAGGAATGAGCAGAGCCCATTCCCTGGGCTCAAAGGACTCCAGGCAGCACTCAAAAGGCATGGGACCATTTGACTCCAAAGCAAGTTTATACCATCAAGACTTCGCTGCTTAACTACAGATAGACTGACTACAATTGATTACTTGGTATTTAAAGGCTGGTCTTCTAAAATGGTAGTAGGCCTCCAGCTTTGCTTCTTTCAGTTATTGTATGCTCTTTAAACGTTCGGTTTGGAAAATTAGTGCTGTTCACTGACATGCCCTTTGGTTGGTGCATGAGCCCCTCTCTACCTTTGAACTCCAAAGACAAGTGATTTCTGGCCCGGGAAAGGTCACCATGTTGTCATGCAGCCAAGCTGGGGCCTGTTTGGCCATGGACTTAGGATCCCCTGGACAGTCTTGGGGTATGCTCCTCGTCCCTGCCCACAGGACAGCTAGGGTTTCCTGGAAGAGGAGCAGACAGGCACTGAGAAGCAGCAGGAGGGGCTACCCAGACACTAGATCTATGCAGATTCCCTCAGCCGAGAGCTCAGGGTAAACAGCCCAACCATTGGGGTTGACATTTATGAAAAGGTCCAACCTTTGCTCTCTGGCTATTTTTAGCTCCTGTCTTCTTGGATTTCACTCTCAGCCTGTCCTGATTTCAGCAACTGCTTCCCTTTGAAAGTCTTATAGAGGCCAGGCCTTAAGCTGGGCATTCTCTGCTGTAATATGGTGTAAGTTTCCTTGACACCTGTTGAGTGCCCTCATAGCTTGCTTTCCGGGGCCCAGTCACTCCTGCACACTATTCTCCAACTCCTGAGACACATCTGCAACTGCAAGTATACAGGAAGTACCCAACACTGGGGCTCCAGAGGGTCCCCTACCTTCCCGAGGAACCTGCCAGAGCCTTCCACACCACACTTCCAGTTCCTGGTCTTGCCCTCACTTAGATACTCAGGTTTGACTCAATCTTTAGAGCTCAGTTGCTGGAACTATTTCAGGACCTGGAGACCTGGGGGCCACATGGGGTTGGGAGGGTCTAACAGTATGGAAGGCAGCTTGTGTTGTAGATTCCCAGGGGGTTGGTAGGCTCTGTTCCTGTTCTTTGCAGATGTCAAGAGTCAGGTGCTGTTCACATGCTGCTTGGCTTGTAGGAGTTACTGGCATCTAGAGAAATGGGTACTGGTGAGCTTGGGTGAGGGCTGCCTCCCTGTGCCAGAATGGAAAAGTTCGGAGGGAGCATTCTGCCAACTATGGGCCATGTGAGGAAAGTGGGTGAAACTGATCATTTTGGGTCAGGAGGATTTCTGGGCCTGTGAGGAGGGGTGGAGGGCAAATGGGTCTCACAACTATGAAGAGGAGCTACATGCTGTGGAGGATACAGGAAGAGGGGCTTCCCCAGCCATGGGAATTCCCACAGGGGCCCAGGGGATAGATGTTTAAGTGGCCAAAGCCTCAGGCTGGCATAGTGAGTTGGATTAGAAGATGAACTGTTGAAACCCCTGAGGGGCTTCCTGGGAGGCTTCTGGAACATTATGTAATGGTCTCTTCTGCCTGTCCTTCATCCCCTCTCAGGTCTGCTCACCAGGTGGCCAGGTACCGCCCCCGTGCTCCCATCATTGCTGTGACCCGTAATCACCAGACAGCTCGCCAGGCCCACCTATACCGAGGCATCTTCCCTGTGGTGTGTAAGGACCCAGTGCAGGACGCCTGGGCTGAGGATGTGGACCTCCGGGTGAACTTGGCCATGAATGTTGGTGCGTGACTGGGAGCAAGGGCTGGAGCCTGGGGTGGAGGTGCTTGCTCACTCAGCTCTCTGGGATGCTAAGGAAAGGGAACATGCAGACCTTAGGGTGCAAGAGCCCTGGCTGGCCACTGTCAGTGGGAATGTTCTCTCTGATTCCTCCATCCCCATCTTTGAAGTCTTGGGCTGAGCCCAGGAAGGAAGAAGGCCTTGAGTCGTGGGGCTAAACAGTCCAGTTTGTCTCCTCACTCTTCTAATCTAGGGCCCAAAGCCAAAGGACCTAGGTAAGCAGGATTGTCCATTCTTTGGCATCTGCTCATTACTGGGTTTTGTGTGTGTGTTTAATAAAATTGGCCAGAGCTCCTGCACTGTGGGGTGGCACACACACAGATTATGTACTGATGTGGCCTTTGTCCCAGTGTAAATGTAGGGTGCCACTGAATGAGAGGAAGCGGCTAGCTCTAACCTTGAGCAAGGGTCTCCATCCTCCAGTGTATAAAATGAGTGATGTCCAAAGGTCCCTGCCAAGTCTGCCATCTGAGTGATAGGGAAATCTCAGGACTGCCCTCATCCCCTTTACCTGGCTTTGAGTCTGGGGCCACCTTGTGGTGTAAAGAAGTAATAGTCAGCCAGCCCTGCTTGCTATCTGGCTCTGGGGCAGTGTCCCAAGTTCATACCCGCCTGACTTGGCATTTACTCACCCACATGCCTTCTCTTCCTTCAGGCAAGGCCCGAGGCTTCTTCAAGAAGGGAGATGTGGTCATCGTGCTGACCGGGTGGCGTCCTGGCTCTGGCTTCACCAACACCATGCGTGTAGTGCCTGTGCCGTGATGGGCCCCAGAGCCCCTCCTCCAGCCCCTGTCCCCTCCCCTTCCCCAACCCATCCCTTAGGCCAGCGATGCTTGCAGTGCTCACTTGGGGCTGTAGTGTGGCACCGATGGGCTGGGGCTCCAGGGAAGAAGATTAAGGCCTCTGTAAAGCATGGCGATTTTTAAGACCCTGCTCAGGTGAGGTATAGTCCAGAGCCAGGCTGTCCATCTTACAGCCGTACCCAAGCAAGAGAGGGAGGGGTGCAGGACTGGAGGCTCTGAAGCTGAACATAGAGGGCAATCGCTCCTGCTTCTCCTCTGTGCACTCCATTCAGTTCCTGTAGAAATGGACACTCAGAGAACTCCCAAGCCTGGTCTGGCTCAGAAGATAGCCGGCTAGAGAGGGCAGTGGTTCCAGTGTCAGCTGACTCTGTCTGGCCCTGGCCTTCACTTGCTTCTCCAATCCCCTCAGCCTCCCCCACTCCCATCTTGTGCACTGTGCACCTCTGTTCCCGCACTCCACTCAGCTGTCGCTGCAGACAAACTCCATCCTCCACCTTCATTATCCCCACTGCTGCAGCCGCCTCTAGGCCTGTTGCTATAGAGCCTACCTGTATGTCAATAAACAGCAGCTGAAGCATTTGTTGCCTCTTTTTTCTGAAAGGGTTGGTGGTGATCTCTGCCCTCTGAGTAGGGCGAAAGGGCATGAGCCTCACGGCTCCTGGTGGGGACTCCCAAACAGCTCAGGCCACCTGCCATATTGTCCATCTCCAAGTGCAGAGTTGCATAGTGAGTTGGATTAGAAGGTGAACCATTAGTAGCTGACTTGCATAGGTTGCCCCCTTTAGGTGGCTGTGTAAAAGCTCCTGAAGCCCTGGCTGGTGTGGTTCAGTTGGTTGGAGTGTTGTCGTGTGCACTGAAGTGTCATGGGCTTGATTCTGGTCAGGGCACATACCCAGGTTTTGGTATCCATCCCTGGTTGGATCTCTAAAACAGCGGTTCTCAACCTGTGGGTCACGACCCCTTTGGGGGTCAAACGACCCTTTCACAGGGGTCCCCTAAGACCATCGGAAAACATATAATTACATATTTTTGTGATTAATCACTATGCTTTAATTATGTTCAATTTGTAACAATGAAATTGGGGGTCACCACAACATGAGGAACTGTATTAAAGGGTCGCAGCATTAGGAAGGTTGACAACCACTGCTCTAAAATCAATACCCAAAACTGCAGCTGGGGAAATTTTTTTTTTTTTTAATCCTCACCCAAGGATATGTCTATTGATTTTAGAGAGAGGAGAGATGAGAGAGAGAGAGAAACATTGATCAGTTGCCTCCCCTACAACCTGGTTATGTGCCCTGACAATCAAACCTGTGACCCTTTGGTGCAAGCAAGGGACAATACTCCAACCAACTGAGCCACGGCCAGGGCTGCAGCTGGGGAAATTATAATGGCTTGTTTGAATCAGATGAGAAGGCAGTGACCAGGGCCCTTTCCTCCTGTTCTGGTGGGTAAGCTGAGTGGAGTAGTCCTTGCCCTGCCCTCCCCTTAGGCCTTCATGCAGTAGAGGCCCCTGTTGGGAGCTGTAGGACGAGACCTGGCTCCTGAGACAGCTTCTGCTCCAAAGTTCCCAGAACAGTTTCAAACCTGGGCTCTGTTAGTGCCCCTTCCATCTTCCTATGCCCGCCCTCCATGGTACAGCTGGGTGAAGGAGGTGGGGGAGGTTTGGGAATGGAACTGAATCCACTGACCACTCCCAAGGACTAAGCTCTACCTGGTGGGGATAGGAGGGAAGGGGCCTGCAGCCAAAAAAGTTGGGGGAACCTGAGTGTGATCCCATTCTCAAGGCCCAGTTCATTGTCACCCGATTAACACCACCAACCCCTACTCTTCATTTCCTGGCCATCTTCAGTCCTTCCCGGACTTACCCAAAAGTTTTTTGCCTGGGCCACAGTGAAGTTTCCAGCTCTGGGCAAGGTGCATGGCAGCATTTAGCTCCCAGTTTGACTTACTCCACCATTGCCTCTAGTATTCCCCACTCAGGCCCTCAATGATCGGGTGTGGAGAGAAATGGAAAGCTACCCTGGAGTTCAGTGTTGGGAGGGTTTATTTAGAGAGGGCTGGAATTGGTTGCTGCAGAGCTCCGCGAAGAGACTCAGAAAGCTGAAGAGGAAGAACGTGGAGGGGCCCCAAGGCCCTTGCTGTGCAAGGCTGGAGGAGCAGACCCTGAGAGGGGCGTGGAGATCTGTGCGGTGTTTGGGCCCCACCTTGAGTCTGGAGAGGGGGAAGGACCTGCCAATGGGCAGGGCCCGTCCCGTGCGGGCAACCAATGGGCAGGAGGAGGTGGGCCCTCCCGGCTGCGAGGACGAGGACCGGCTGGTGGCAGTCGGGCCGCTGGGTCTCCCGCGCTGGCCGGGAGGCGCATCTATGACTGCTCTGAGCAGGGGCGAGACAGTGGCGGCTGGCAGGTAAGGGACTGCAGCCCGCCTGCCTGGTTCAGGCGAGGGGCGGGACGGGGCCCGACGCGCCTGGGTGCCTTCTGCCCCGAGGGCAGGCACTTCCCGCCCGCCGAAATGCAGGCTCAGCTCAAGAGCTGCGCTTCTCAGGCTGCGGGGTGTTCGCGGTTGCTGTGCTCCGCGCGAGGGGTCCGGGCGTGGGGATGAGGACGTCCGGGCAGCGGAGGGCACCCTTCTTGGGACATCTCCGTAGTCCACCACCACCACCACCCTCTGCCATCATCCCTGTTCGTTCGTTCACTCATTCATTCATTCATTCATTCATTCATTCCCCAGCCCTATCGACCCCCAGCCCTGACTGCTCCCCACCCAAAGGCTGATGCTTCCCTGCTGGCCCGGGGTGGGGGTTTCAGCCTTTCTGCCCTCCCAGCTGAGTCTGCAGTTATATCCGGCCGCAATTGTATCAGGCCCGCGGCTGCCCAGGAGACAGTGTGGAGCTGTCCTGGCACGAGTGGGCCACCCCCGTGTATCAGGCCCGTCCTGGTCGGGCGGGCTGGGGCTGGTCTTTCCGCCTCGAGATTTGATCCAAAGTCGCCCTGGGAGGAAGGAAATTCTTGCACCTGGGGAAGGGGCAGAGAGGCAGGGCAGGTAGAAGGTGGTGTTTAATGTGACATCAAGAATTGTGGCCTCTGCCCCTGAGGTCTTGGGGCTTTTGGCGGGGGTGGGGGGTGGGGTGGAGAAGGGGGGATTATTTGGTGAAGAAAGAACCAGTGGGTGAGGCTGTAAAGTCCTGCCCTTGCTGTAAGTTCCCAGGTGCCACAGTCTGAGCTCTGGAGGGCAGCCTGCCCCCCTAGTCAGGTAGCACTGGGGCAGTTGACATGCCTCCTCCACAGTCCTCTGATCACATTGGCTGGACTCCAGTCCAGTCCAGTCCATGTTGGCAGGCACACTCAGGTGTGAGGCTGCAGTTTGACAGGACCAGTAAAGCAGTGAGCAATTCGAGAGCAAATGGGCAGTCTAGAGGGTGAACCTGAAAGAGGCTGGCACTGAGCTTCCAGGAGTTTCTGCTCGGGGCAAATCAAAATTCTCCTTCCTGCTTTGGAGAATGTTCTGAATAGCCTCCAGGGGACAGCCCAGGCCCTATCTATGTCTTGATGTTACTGGTTGCTTTCAAATTAAAAAAAATTTTTTTTTAGCTCAGGCAAGTCCTCAAAGCCTTAGTGCAAACCAGAAAGACCTGTGTGCCAATTCGTCCACCTAGGATGCCCCCAAGGTTGAGGTTGCCAGTACTCAAGGTGGCTTTATGCCAGCCAGCCTCCCTGAAGCTCTCCCACTGACCTGCTTGGGTGGCTCCACCCAGGCCTTAACCTGGTTAAGTTGTGGCTTTGGCCCTTGAATGCCACATACCATATTTATCAGACCAACATGAAGAGCCTCATTCAGGGAATCAGAAGTGAGTTCTCAGCCTAATACTGTTCCTATTTTGCTGTGACTTGAAAACAAGTCAGGTTTTCTCTTTGGGCCTGCTTTGCCCATTTACACCTCCAGCTGGCTCTGAAGTCTAGCTCCTTTCAGAGCAAAGACTTCCAGAGTTGTAGGGAGAGAGAGGTGAGTAGAGGGTGTCTCCTTTACCCATTAGGTAAGGCAATTGGACTGTAGGTCCCCTAAAGCCCTTCTCCATTCAGTCATTCAGTGATTCTGCTACCTAGCATGTTTCCCCTTTATTTCTGAAGGCATTTCATTTCTTTTTATTTACAATTTCTTCTTTACTGTAACTACTTAGGGAAAGCCCATGAATTTGAGAACAGTGCAGCATTCCACTTTGGTGCCCAGTGTCTGAGTCCAGACACCAGAAAATGATTTGTTTTTCCTTTCTGAGAAGTGAAAATCATTCTTTGGCATGAAGTCCATCTTGGCCACTATGCTGCTATTCACCCTGGATGCAATTCACCTGGGCTGCAGGGCATCAATTTGTCACCACCTGTTCTCTATCACCAACCTTTGAAGCCTTGATGAATTTCCTACCTGTTTACTAATGTAGGAAAGGAAAGGGGATGGGGGAGAGCAGAAGTCCCTGGCATGGAACTTCCTGTGTAATTCAGAAGGAATTGTCTCCCCAAGGAGGATGTGCCTGCTCAGCACAGATGCCAGGAGGAAGGGGTTGTTTTCCATAATATAAACCTTTCATTTCTTTTTTGTTTTTGTTGCAATGTATTTGTTGAAGAAATAGGATTATTTGTCCTATACCATTTCCCAGTTTGCTGGTGTTGTTTAAAATATTCCCCTGACTCTTGTATTTCCTATAAATAGCCGGTCTAGATGTTGCTCAGATTCAAAAGGTATTGAGCACTTGAGGAAGAACATTAGGAAGCACATCTGGTTATTTCTCTTTGGAGGATGTCAGCAGGCATTGATGATCATTTTATTTAAACCCGTTATTTCATTAGGGATTGTAGAATGGTATTGCTCTAATTCTATCACTCTTTCATCATTTATTGGCTTGAATCTTCCCATAAAAAGAAATGTTTCCTCTTTCAACTATTTGTTTACCCTGAGGTATAGCTAGTACTAGAAAGGCAGAATTAAAAACCAGTTGGCTCCATGTAAAAGCAGCAGTAGGAAAGCTATGGGGTCTTCCAATATCACTCAGGAGAAGAGAGGTTATAAGTGGTTATAGCCCAGACTCTGCAGTGGTCGCACCAACAGTGGAAATCTAATTTTATCAAGGAAGGAACATGATGACAAAGGTTTGTTCCTTGATGAAAGACCACTAGATAGAGTTAGGCTTATTTGAGTGTTGGAAAGAACTTTCTAGTAATCAGGGCTACAGTGATATAGGTGATGGATGATATTCACATGTAGGCACATACTTTGAAACTCCTTGCCCTGGCCAGTTTGGCTCAGTGGATAGAGCGTCAGCCTGTGGACTGAAGGGTCCCAGGTCCAATTCCAGTCGAGGGCACATGCCTGGGTTGCGGGCTTGATCCCCAGTAGGGGGTGGGCAGGAGGCAGCCGATCAATGATTCTCTCTCATCATTGATGTTTCTATCTCTCTTTCCTTCTCCCTTCCTCTCTGAAATCAATAAAGAAATATATTAAAATAAATAAATAAATAAGAAACTCCTTGTGCCCAATTAGATCGCCACCATTTTCCCACCCACTTGAATATTTATTTAGTTCCTTTATATGGATAACAGTGAACAACTTCTTTCTTTTCCTTTAAGTCATTCGCAGATATAGTCACTGTGACATAACAATAGGAAAAGCATGCGCTTTCAGAAAGAGCTGGACACAAATCCTTGCTCCAGAAATGAATGCTGAGCTACTACTGGGTCTGAGCCTCCATTTCTTCATCTGTCATCACATCTGGTTCATTTAAAGGTTCTCAGGTGGTGTAATAGCCTGGTCACCAAAAGTTAGTTTCCCTTCAGTGCCTCCAGCTTTGAGAATCTGAGACCCAGACTCTCTGATAATTTAGCCCCAGCTCTAAGAAAAGCTTAACATGTTTACTTTTTCAAGGTGCAAAGTTCATTTTTAATACACTTTTTATTTTGAGATAATTGTAGATTTACAAGCAATTGTATAAAATAATACAGAGATCTCATGTATCTTTCACTCAATTTCTCCCAGTGGTAACATCCTACATGACAGTAGCACAATAACAATCAGAAAAATTAACATTGATATAACCCATCAACCTTGTTCAGATTACACCAGTTTTCCATGCACTGGTGTGTGTGTGTGTGTGTGTGAGTGTGTGTGTGTGTGTGTGTGTGTGTTTAGTTTTGTACAGTTTTATTACATGTGAAGATTTGGCAAAGTTTATTTATTTTTTAAATTTATTTTTATTGATTTCAGAGAGGAAGGGAGAGGGAGAGAGAGAGAGAGAGACAGAGAGAGAGAGAGAGTTGGCGTTGGTGGTATAGTGGTGAGCATAGCTGCCTCCAGAGAGAGAGAGAGAGAGAGAGAGAGAGAGATAAACATCAATGATGAGAAAGAATCATTGATTGACTGCCTTGAGCCTACAACACGGGCATGTGCCCTGACGGGAAATTGAACCGTGACCTCCTGGTTCATAACTCAAGCACTGAGCCATGCTGGCCAGGCTCAAAGTTTATTTTAAAAATCAATGTCATTTTTTCTTTTGGATTCTGAGGGTTTCCATGTAGGAAGAATGAGGTTTTAGGAATTTGGAATTTTAGAGGTATCTATTAGTTAATATTGCTGTGCTGTAGGAATAAGTTTTTGTGTTGTTGTTTGTTTGTTTTGCTATATCCTCCTTCTTCCTTTGAATTCTTAGCTACAAATGAAATTGTTTGTTGTGATCATAAAAATCAAGCAGAGTATATGGGAAAGTCTAAAGAAGAAAATAAAAAAATATCTAAAATCCCAATTCATGAAGAAAAATATTGTTAGAATTTTGTGAGCATCCTTCCTACATCTATTATATGTAATGCTATCTGTCCATGTTAATAGACTGTTTTTAATAAATGTTTTAATAAATAACTTGATACATATTATTTTAATAGTTACAAAGCCATCTATTCTATTAATAAATCATAATTTTTATGCCTTATTTTTTCTCTTCTAACTACACTTCAGTGAACATTCTTGTGCATTTAAATGGGTCCAATTATTTTCTAACAATAAATTGTTAGAAATGGAATTTATGATCTGAGGTTATCTACATATAAAATGTATCTACTCTTCTCACACTGCCCTAAACACAACAGTATATGAGACTGTCCATTCACCAACATGCTGATCAACAGTAGGTATTACTGGAGTTGGTGCATATAGAGACTGGCAACAGTAGCTAGATCCTAACAAACAGCTGCCATTTCCAACCACTTCCTGTGAGCCATGCATGTAAGTGTTTAATGTCAATCAACTCATTTCAGTCCTCACAACAACCCAGAGTCCCATCTCACAAGTGAGGCTGTTAAGGCACAGAGGACAGGAGGAGCTTACCTAAGGTCATGGTAAAAAGTAGTAGTGTCAGGGATTCCAAA